TCTCTTCTTCTAGTAGGAGTGTTTCCCTAAATGTGAACTTTTGTTTGTTGGGATATTGTGCCGTATGCATGTACCAAGAGCCCACTGGATCTGTCCGAACACCTCTGGGGAGGTCGACGAGAACCCCGGTGCTGTACCCTCTTCCAAAGCAGGAAACAGAGAAGTTAAGTGTCTTGCTCAAGGTCACTGTCTGAAGTCCCTTTTGAAGTTTGGGTACTCATACCCTGGGGATGTGGGGTTCCCACCTCCCCGTGTGCTTCTATCACTGATGCCAAAGCCTTAGTACTACAGGAGAAATGAACTATGGTGTTGCCTCCCCGTGGGGTGACCATGCTGCCCAATCTAGTAAAGCCACATAGTGGCTCTTCATGATGACACTGTCAGGGAAGGGCCCTGAGCAGAGTGTGGGCTTTATTGCCTGCGTGTTACCTCCATGCCAGGTGTTTCCTGCTCTGCAGATAGCTCCTTCATCAGACATTTCCAACTCTGATTCTGCGCCAAATATTTGGCACAGGGAAGAGGCATCCTTTGCTTCCTTCCTCTTTCCCTGTAGCTTAAGAATAAAAAGCATGGAAGCTGGAATGGTAGAGACATTGAGCTGCTAGGAGAAGGGGTAGGCTCATCTCCAAAAGAGGATTTCGACCTCAGACTCATACCGGGGAGCACATGCCGGCTGTCACCTGGAGCCTGGGAAAGCTCCTTTTCCAGAATTTACACAGCTGGTGTTTTGACCCCAAACCACTGCCAACTCACATGGGGGGGTTGTTTAATGATTAAAATTTTTAAATAGTTGTATTTCTCCCCTTGTTTATTTTTCTAGAAGGTAGTAAAGAGAATTTCACTTACATTTGTGGCTTTGGTTGCGTGGAGATGAGAAAAAGGGAATGGGTGGGGGTGGTCTTCCCTCATCCCTTAAATCCTTTATTCTCCTCCATAGCATTTATGACCTTCAACATCCTATATATTTTGCTTATTTATTTTGATTTTATACCTGTTTACCCCACTAGAATGTGTCCTCCCTGAAGACAGAATTGCTTATATTTATATCTAAACCTGGGCCTGATACCTAGTAGGTACTCAAAATTTTTGTTGATTGAATTAATTAATCCTTCCACTAGATGTAGCTATTCGAACCAACTCCAGAGTCCCTGAATTTGTTCCAGATGTTGAAGGGCAGAGGCTGAATTGTAGGACCTGAGATTTTCAAAATATAAATCCTAGAAAGTGCTATAGTGATTCAGATGATAGACCTTCTAGACTAGTGTTTTGATGGAATGAATGTTATGGCAACGCCTGGCTGTTCGCCTTGACATCTGCCTCAGAGGTTGGACATCATCATTCATTCATTCAGCCAGACAGGCAGAGAGTCGATCTTTTATCAATAATTAGCTCTGGGGATAGAAAGCTGAACAAGATATATAGGCTTATTCCCTCATAAATCTTGTCATCTATAACTAGATCAACATTTTGGGGGGAAATAATTTATCTTTTCAGCCTCTTCCAACCCTGTGAAGAAGCATTCCTTAGTGTCAGTGATGCTGGATCAATATGAGACAACAGTAGGGGTATATATGATGGTGGAAGAAAATGGGTAGAAAATTTCAGACTTGAAAAGTGCTGCCTCCTGATTTTTCTGCTACCTGCTCGCATCCCTTCTCTGAGAAGGGGTCTATTGGTGAGCATATCATTAGTACCTTGTATTAGTTTCTTCCGTGATCACATCCTAGCAAATGGCAAGATGCTTAGTGACTTTTTTCTGTATGGCTTAGCAATAGCATATATGAAAAGAATTCTAGCTGTTGGTCTTTTGTAGATTCAGAGTGAGTCCACATTGAGATGAGGCTGTTGAGGGTGAGCAACAGTTATGTCCAAAGCGAGGCCAGGGATGGTCCCCTCACCCGAGCAGCTCTGGCAACCCCTGGCGCCCTGTGCTTGAGGAAACACAGAGGAGGGAAGAATACACCCAGGGTGAGGGCACTCAAAACTGTTTCATATGAGGAACAGTTAAAAGAACTGGGGATGTTTATTTTAGAGAAGACTCAGAAACACCGTAAGCTCTGTCTTCCAATGGTGGAAGGGCTCTCCATGTGGGAGAAGCATTAGATCATCCTGGAGCCTCAGGTCTTGGAACAAGGATGGCTGCGTGATAGGACTTCCTACAGTCAGGGTATTCAAAGGTGGCCGCCTGGGGAGCCACCTCTGAGCCTCACTACTGATCCCTTAGGAGGAAGGCAAGTCCCAATTTGTATCCTATCCGATGAGCCCAGATTCCTACTGAAGCCAGCCTAGGGCATGGCGAGCAGATATGATGACCAGGTAGAAGAGAAAATGACAGCTCTCATTTGGGTCTGCTTCTGTGATCCTCCTTTCCTCTGTTTGCCTTCGGTCAGATGATTTTATTCCCCCAAATTCAAATATTCGGAGTCTCTATTAAAATATATATATTTAATAATATATGAAATAGTTAACAATACATGGAATAAAAATACATGCATTTAATGATATATATAATATACATTATTATTATATATAATATATATATTATATACATGATAGAATTGCTTGTATTGTAATGTGGGAACAACCTGAATGATGATTAAAAAAGAATAGTTGAGTAAATTCTAATGTATTATATGAACCATTATGCAGTCATTATGGACAATGAGTTAGATCTGTATCTACTGCCCAAGATGAATGGGCAGGCTAGAGAGTTAAATGAGAAAAGCAAGAGAAACATATTCCATACATAGTATGATCTTGTTTTGTGAGAATAAATTATATTTTAAGTATTACGTGTGTAATCATGTTGGCATATAGTTTGTGTGAGGATGGCAAAAGTGGGGAAGCATAGAGATGAAGTGGTTGTTAACAGTAGTTGGAGAGTTTGGGGTGGGGTGGGGACCTGAGGGACAGAAGGGGCAGGAATAGAGACAAAGTGAAGGAAAGTGAGAGGGGACAGCTCATCCATCTGTCTGTCTATCAATATCCATCTATCTACCTATCATCTATCTATCATCTGTCTATCTAGCTTCATTGGTTGTGCTTAAACAAGTCTTACTTTTGAGGACTTTAATAAAAGAAGGAAGAAAGAAAGAAAGAAAGAAAGAAAGGAGAAAAAGTCTTTCACTTTTATGCTATTTTCTTTTTTTTTACTCTGTTGCTCTTATAAAAACTGTCTCAACGTTTCTATTAAGGACACTCCAGAGGTTTTATAATAAAAAAATATTAGTTTTCATTCTTTTGAGATGATGATTTAAACAGTTGAAAGAAATCTGGGGAATGTATAAAGATAAAATATTTTGAATCAAAATTGAGTTTCTAGATATCGTGAAAGATGAATGACTTAAGAATCATTTGTATTTTTCTTCATTGTTTCTTTGCTGTATAAGAGGTGTCCATTTTCTCCTAGTGCTCCAGAAAAATGTTCCCTTTCTTAAATCTAGGGAACACAGGGTCAGGTTAGGAGCACCCAACTCAGTTAAGAAATTTGCTAGTTTCTGGTGGGGAAGTGGAGCATTGAGTGGAGGGTTCTGACGTGTGTGTGTGTGTGTGTGTGTGTGTGTGTGTGTGTGTGTTTTGTTCTGTTTTGTTTTTGCGGTACGCGGGCCTCCCACTGCTGTGGCCTCTCCCGTTGTGGAGCACAGGCTCCGGACGCGCAGGCTCAGCGGCCATGGCTCACGGGCCCAGCCGCTCCACGGCATGTGGGATCTTCCCGGACCGGGGCACGAACCCACGTCCCCTGCATCGGCAGGCGGACTCTCAACCACTGCGCCACCAGGGAAGCCCCTGTATGGGTATTTTTCATCAGTTTTTCTCTGCTGAAATATCCAGTAAGATGCTGCTATGTTTTTCTGGGATTTGAATACTTTCTCTTAAACTATTTTAGATAATTGTTTTTCATATTAAATTATCCTCATTATACATTCATTTTTGATGCCAATAGTTCTTTCTACATAAAGGATTTGTCTACATCCAGAATAGCCCCAGATGTTGTAGAATTGGCTGGTGATTTAACCCCTGCTGATTATGAAAGAAGATTTGAGACAGAATAGGGTGCTGTTTCATATTCACATTTGGATGTAGTCTCAGAGCTGATCCCAAGCAGCATACTGATACAGAGACAAATAATGAGTGGGTGTGTCAGATCGATAGAAATACTACTACTAACCATTCGTATTTCTTTGATTTTAAGATGCTCGTTTTATATACTAACTGAAATCTGAATGCATCTTACTGCACTTGTGTGCATTTATTAGGTTAATATTGCAAGGCAACAGTGGTCTTATAATTAAAAGAAATCCTGTAGAATCCCCTTGGCTGGCTATTGAGTTCTGGAAGTTTTAATGCAATTAGAACATTCCAGAATCAATGAACCTCAACCAGAATTTCAGCCTGCATAATGCTATCCTGATTTAGACAAAGCAGGAAGTTATAAAAGTGTTTCTTTTCATGCAAGCAACTGCCTCATTGATAGATAACACTAAAATGATCCTAAAATTATACGAAGTAGGATCGGTGCATGGCGACTCCATTTTTAAAATCCTGATTTTAGGTCAACGGCACCATCACTTTGGGGAAACTAGTCAAGTGCAGTGACATTTTTCCACCTCACAGGCTAAAAAAATATTTCACTAGGCCAAAAACCTGAGTGGTACTTACGAACAGTTTATCTGTCAGAAGAGAGTGGGAAGAATGGAAGAGACAATGTTATTTGAATCTGTGACCTGGAGAGAAGGAAAGAGCCATGACATGGGAAGCCGTGCTGACTGACTAGATTGCCTGTATCCTGAGTTTGCTTTAGGTGTCTTGTCAAGCATTTCCATTGAGTTTTGTTGTCACTGTTGCTTCGTTTTCTTGGGCATAATATCTGTTCTTTCAGAAAATCCCCCTGCCCCTCCCCCCAGGCTAGGCTGGAAGGCTTCATGGCTGACTCTCCTGTGTGTGTTTGAGTCCATGGTCTTCTGCTGCTTTTCTCATGCTTTTTCTTTATGACGTTTCAGCTCATCCACCATACACCATGTGCTTTAGAGTGAAATTCTACCCACACGAACCCTTGAAGATTAAAGAAGAGCTCACCAGGTATTTTTTTGTTTGTTTGTATGTTTAACGTGCCCCTTGAAACAGCCAGGGCCTCTGAGTTTTACTCTTGTCTAGAGCGGAGTGTCTCCACCACGCAGGCGCTCAGCTCAGCATTTGGCTTGGAATGTTTCTCTTACACTTAATTGTCTTGGGACTTTTCAAACCGTTGTCATTGGGAGTGTAATTAACTGCACAAAAAAGCAGTGCTCTCTAAAAACACCTGACAGTGGGATGCTAAAAATAAATAGAAGATGACTGCGTTTAGGATATGGGCAAATTCATAGCTAGTGCAGCCCCTGGGACCTGTCTTTTGGATCTAAGCTTTTCTGAAGGGAAACGATCCCTTGACAGAATGATGAACTGTTTTGTCATCCCACATTCCACTTGCTAAATGACCGACTGCGGAGCCGGCTTCCCTCTCCTTGTAGACTCTTCTCAGCCCAACTCTCTGCATTTTCTGGTTCTCGGGCCAGGGCCACGTGCAACTAGTCCACCTTCTGGGTGTTTGGCTTCCGTGAACAGCCTTGGCCAATGCCACTGAGCAGGGTCCCGAGAGGGCCAACTCGGTGGATGGAGAAGAGCCCATGTGTGCTTAGCTCTTAATGAGCCCCTGATCTGGTGACCGAAAAAAGTCACTGTGTGTAGTCATCTCTCAGAATAATCTGCGTGGGTCCGAAGGCAGCAGAGAAGCAAAGGCAGTTGACTCTGATCATCATGTACAGAGTCACGTGCTGGGTTCTAGGGTACTGTGCTCTCTCGTTATCCATGAGGGTCTGGTAAAGCTCCACCATAGTGACACAAGGTGATGTTGGAAGGGAGCCATTCTCTGTTAGTAATTTGTGCACAGCTGTTGGCGGAGGTTTGTGCTTGGGGGCGGGGCAGGGTGTGCGTGGGAAAGGAGATGATGGACATTGTAAGTAGTGGTTGGTGTTTTGCAATCTGGCCTGCTTTTAAATTAAGGTAAAATTCACATAACATAAATTTTTTTTCACCGTTTCAAAGTGTACAATTCTGGAGCATTAAGTACATTGACAATGTAAGGCAACCATCACCATTATCTAGTTTCCAGAACATTTCTTATCACCCCAAAAAGAAAGCCTGTACCTATTAGCAGTCACTACCCACTCTCCCATCCCCCAGACCCTGGAAACCACTCGTCTACTTTCTATCTCTATGGATTTACCCGTTTTGGACATTTCATATAAATGGAAGCAAATGGTATGTGGCTTCAGCCTGCTTTTGGCTTGAAAAATTTATTCATTTATTTGTTAAGTACTTCCTCAGTTCCTGCTGTCTGCAAGGGCTGTATAAACCACCTAAATAAATAAATAAATAAAGATATTTGTCCTACCCTCTGGGTGCTAACACTGTAATTAGGAAGATCAATCAGATACTAATGCCAGGCGTTATTTCATCAGGGGCCAATATAGCTCACTTTTGTCACTTGTTTTCTTTAAGACCTTGACCAGAGGATAAAAATTGAATATGTGTCACAATATAAATTAAGGATGGGTCTTTTGTTGGTGATGTTGAGAAAAGTCCCATTTGAAAGTAAAAGGGTACAAAGTTTTAGTTAAATCCCTCTCAATTAAATTAGCTAGCCCTTCCCTGCATTTGTCTGAATAACTAAGGTATGAATTGTGCGACATTGCAAACATTTTTATGTCTCCAAAGGAAATTAAGACAATACAGGTAGAAATGGGTTTTTCTGAGTCAAACACAGTCTTTAGAATTCAAAAGGGATCTACAAACTGTGGAATGACTCAGGTACTTATGATTTAAACCCTATCTTGAAAGAATTTAGTTTTTATTGTGTGATGTTATTTTATCATAAGATTAATCTAAAATTTAAGAATTTAATAAATGAGAAGCTAAGATCACATTCATGACCAGGCTAAGGGGTAAAGAAACATTGGGAAAAAAGCGGTTTTAAAAGAGCAAAACAACAAAAATACTTACCAAAAAGGATATTTTTTAAATCCTGCTTTTATCTCTCCATTTACACAGTCACCTTACAATCCTTTAGATTTCTGAGGCATTTGTAAATGCTATATACAACTGAATGTAATAAAAGCATGTTGGTTTTAAATTTTTTAGTAAGAACCGCCTTTAAATTCATGTTAGATAGAGAAGCGTATCACTAATGGGGGCATAATAATGTATGCCCCAGATCCTCCTGTGTTTTTGTTGCTTAATTCTTTCATGCAGAGAGGGGTGAGACTGAAGGAAAATGCATTATTATTATTATTTTGGTGGCTATTATATTAAAAAATGAGTATCTGAACCTGAAGCCATTTGCAAGGCTCAGTGGATTATGTGGAATCCGTAATAATCCATGATTATCTCTAGAGTTCACTAATGTGAGCAAGGACCCAAACTCAGCTGTTGTGAAAGCGGATTTTCTTTTCTCAGGAAGCTTTTGTCAAACTCAATTTCTGAGTTATGGGATCAGAACCCAAACGTCTCATTCGTCAGTAAATATTTATTTGAAACGATTTTCCACTACTAAACTCACCCAAACGTGGACAGGAATGCTTTTTGTTCAATGCATACATGCAGCACGTAGAAAAGAAACTTGATGGCATTTAGCCAGGTAGTTTACATTCTTTAAGAAAGGAAAGATTTCATCACCTCAAGTATTTGTGTGACCTTGGTATTGTGAATGATCTAGGGCCATGGTCCTCAAAGTCACATCCCTGGATTAACAGCAACAGCATCACTTGGGAACTTGGCCCCTGCCCCAGACCTGGGATGGGGCCCTGCAATCTGTATTTTCACAAGCCCTCCAGGTAATTTTAAAGCATGTCAAATTTTAAGAACCATTACTCTAAGGCAATTGGATTTTCAAAAGTATTAGTTTCTTTAGGCAGATATTAGAGTGTACAATTCAGTGGGTTTCGTATGTTCTTTCGTATGCCACCATCACTGTGATCTCCTTCCAGAACATTTTCATCACTGCAGTAGGAAACCTAGTATGCAAGCAGTCTCTCCCCATTCCCCACTCCCCCCAGCCCCTGGCAGCTACTAAGCTATGTTTTTGTCTCTGTAGGTTTGTCTATTCTGAAATTGTATACAAATGGAATCATATAATATGTGGCCTTTTATATCTGACTTTTCACTTAGCTTAATCTTTTCAAGGTTCTTCCATGTTGTAGCATGCATCAGTAGGTACTTCCTTCCTTTTATGGCTGAATAATATTCCATTGTATGGATATACCACTTTCTTTTATCCTTTCATCAGTTGATGGGCATTTGTTTTAGCTATTATGAAGAATGCTGCTATGAGCATTCATATACACATTTTTGTGAGGACCTAGATTCTGATTTAATTGGGTCTAGGGTAGGGTCCATGTTGGTATTGTTTAAAAGCTCCCCCAGGTGATTCTAACATGCAGTCCCTCTGAGAACCTCTGGTTTAGAACCTTATTACTCAAGTGTGGTCCATGGGCCCGCAGCTCAGCTTTACTGTGCGCTTATTAGAAATATGGACTCTTGAGCCCCACCCAGACCTACTGAACCAGAATCCATATTCTAACAGCATCTCTGGGTAATTCACGAGCTCACTAAAGTGTGAGAGACACCAGTTTAGGGAGATACTCTGGGTCCTTGATGGCCAGTGTAATACTGGTCCCTTGACAAAATGTACACTAACTCCAGATAAGAAATTTATTAGGGACTACCTTTATGTCCTGCACACAATTCCATACAAAGTTGGGGACAGAGAGTGTCATTTGAACCTCCATTGTGTGTCCAGTGCCTAGCACTGTCATAGCATAAAGCGGGTGTGAGATAAAGATTCATCAAGTGGAAGCACCAGGGAGCCACTGAACCCTTCAGTGCATCTGTGTGTCCGGGGATGGCGAGCTCTAGCGCTCGGGGAGGCGGGCGGGCACTGCCAGCCCCTGAGTGATCTGAGTACCTCAGTTATGCTCTCTGAGCGGGGTTGTGCATGAGGCTGCTCACAGGCTGAGTAAAGATCAGATTATTTGAGCCCTGGAGGTAGTGACTGGGACCGATTGGGTAGTACTCCCCACCTGGCCTCAAGAACCTGGAAAGAAGAAAAAAAGGTTGGTCTCTGCGACTTAAACTTCAAAATAAACAGAAAGAATCTTCACACACCTATAAAGTTAGTCAGAAACAATAGACCCCAGGCCTGAGCCTTCAATGAAAGAATCAGTCAGGCAAAGACATAGGAGGAGATCTGAAGAGGGCGTGATCAGCATAGAGGAACAGAGGGGACAGTGACAAGATGAGCCTGAGCCAGGGGTGGTAAACTGACACCGCCCCCCCGCCCCCGCCCCGCCATCCCCAGCTGAATCAGGCCCAGGCGTATTTTTCGTTTGACACTCCAGTGTTTTCAAAAACAGAGTTTGCTGCAACATTTAAAATTCAAAGGATTTCACTTCTAAACCCGTCGCCGTGACGCTGGAGCTGCACAGCGGCTGACCCCTTCGCGGGAGCCAGCACCCTCTGTTCTGCTTCCCGACCCCCTCACCCCAGCCTGTTTCACTCAGTAACAGGTTTGTCTGGCCCTGAGGCCATCTGTTTGCCATCCCTGGAGAAGCGGAGAGGACACTAAACAGATGACCGTTTGTGCTGTGAATAAGTTGGCTTTCTGGCCTCGTAACCAAGTCTTTTTGAGATTGATTAACATGAGTCTGTCTGTGCCCCGGACTAGTCTCTGTAGACTGAGTCCGATTCCTGAGTCCTCATTCCACAGAGAGCTCGGGCAGCCTGTAGCTGAGGTGCTGGTGGTGGTAACAGTGGCTGTGGTTGTCCTTGTGTGGGACTTTCTGCCAGGGACGGTGGCTGCTGGGCCTTGTGGCTCTCCTCCATCCTTCCTGTATCTCTTTGGAAAGGGCCAGCCACACAGCTCTGGAAGCTGCCACAGACACTTCAGGTTTTCTGAACTCTGAGGGCTCCTCCCAGTTTTCCTCTGCTTGCCCTCTGAGGGGCTTGGGTAGGGCTCTGGTGACCCAGGTGCATGAAGCATGAGCAATCCTTCCACTTCTTCCAGGCCTCAGCCAAAACTTAGGGCGACTCTTTCTCCTTTTGCATTGCAGGTATCTTCTGTACCTGCAAATTAAAAGAGATATTTTCCACGGTCGACTGCTCTGCTCCTTTTCAGATGCTGCCTACCTGGGTGCCTGTATCGTCCAAGGTAAGTGTGGCCACGGCTGCCCATCCCCACCATTGTACTGGACAGTAGAGCTTTGGCTGTTCAGAGACTCCCTCCTCCCCAGCCTCTGCCCATCCAGCCCGTGTCATGGTTTGAGGCCAGGCAGGGCTGGGTACTTAGCAATGGACCCCCGCCTCCCCTTCCCTCCCAAGCCTCTGGGGTCCTGGTGGAAGGCTGGGCTGCAGTGGTCACAGGGGCCTCTGCAAGAACGGAGGTCCTCAAGGCCCCGAGGTAGAGCTCAGACTCTCTGTTTCAAAGGGGCTGGAATGCTTGACTTTATAAGAAGCTTTGAAGAGATGTGGGGTGTTCTGTGCTCTGAGCTCCAACCACCAGGTGTGGTGCATGATGGGTATATTGAGCGGGGAATCTATGTCCAGGAAGGTAGGTGTCAAAGGGGTGTCCTTTCAAACCTTTGAAGTGAAATATCAAAGCATTTATACATATGTATTCACATGAGTAGTATGTGTATATACGTGCACTGTATCTAATGCTTCAGCCTTTCTAGTCACGCAGTATGGTGAGGAGAGCATCAGGCTCACAGCCTGTCATTCTACAGTTTGAACCTGAATTCCCATTTCCTGGTTATTTCACCATAGATAAATGATTTAAACTCTTTAAGCTTCGGTGTCTTTATATATTGAATGATGTGGTCCTACTTGTGTGACAATTTCATGAGACTTATTCTCAGGGTTGAACAAGCCCCAGAGGGTGGGGCATTGGGAAGCAGTAAGCATATAGGACCCAGGGTAAGCTTCTGGATGTTTCGACCTGTAAGAAAAAAGTGTTTGAGAGAAGGCTGTCTCCAGAGCCCAAGGCAGAGCATCGTCATGGGGATGGGCCCAGGACCCAAGTGAAGAACGACTCAGAAGTTCTGTTCCCCTGGGTCAGCTGGGAGGCAGCTGGCAGCAGGGCCTGCTTGGAGGGACTCAGGTGTTCCAGCCATTTGTAGCATGGATGCTGATGACATGTTTATGAGAGAAGGGGAGGGTGGAGAGGGGAACTAGGAGAAGAGAGGAGGGATGGAGGGGAGAAGGAAGGAAGCAGGTGAGGACAACGGGAGAGAGAGAGGTTACCAAGTGAGCATGTCACCCTTATAAAGGATCTGAAATAATGAAGGAGCTTATGATGGGGTCATAAGCGGATCATGACAATCGTCTGTCTGATCACAATTCCAACCTTCGTTCACAGCTTAAGAGAGACACCCATCATTCTCCTGGGGGTTTCACTGTCACTCACCACTATCCCCATGGGATGCTCTGTGCTGTGAAATCGTTCCTAGGACCCTGTTTCCAGGTGTGTGTGCTCTCTGAGAATTCTGAAGTCTATCTGTGTTGCTTTTCCCCATCCTCTGGGAGCGACCTAGTGCCACTCAGCAGGTTTTAGCAGTGGTGTTAAAAACCCTTGGAGATACTCAAGTTTAAAGTTAGAATGACAGTGATAGCCTGATGGGAAATAGTCCTTCCATCTGCCCCAAGGTGGAGTGCGTGCTTCTGAAAGCTGCCTCTCTTATATAGAGCTAAGGAATGTTCAAACCCCAAAGTTCTTCTTCCCTGTGAAGACTGCACGTTCCTAGTTAGGGTGCACTGTCTTCCATGAGGGAAAAGCAAATCGATACTAATCCAAGCAACAGACTGGCATGTGAGGATTTCAGGACGCATTTAGGCATTAGTGAATCGTGGTCAGTTGTCCAAGGACAAGCTCAATATGGATCTGTAATGGGAAAACTCTCCATCCTGTTTTATGTTTGAAATAAAGCCACAAAGCCTCCATCCAGATGATCAGGGCCCTATTTTATCCCTCGTTGCTATTATCACTGACCATACTCACAGATGCTGTCGAGAGAGTAGAGTTGGAAGTGAACTGACAGACCTCAAGAAAACCTTTCAGCTCTAAAACGCAGCAGTGTCCATGGACCATTTGTAGCAAATCCAGTAAAAGCTGGATTCGTCAAGTTCTCTGATGCTCGGGGTGGTATTACAGCAGCTCTAGGGATCATTACAAATGCAGATAAACATCTGCTTTGTCAGAACTGCTTATGCTTACAGAGAGTGATAGGGAATGTGAAGTAAATGATTAGAAAGCGGAGGACATGTGACTTTTTACTGGCCTCTTGTTTGCTAACACTCTTTGAAGGAGCATGTTTTAAGCTTCAGAATATTCTGAGTGTATAAAACAGGCAGCCACCCAGAGTTTTGCCACCGTACACACTGAATACAATGAGCATATTCAATACACGCTTTGCATTGTCTTCATAATACCAATTGCAAAACTAACACACGAAGCCCTAGGAATCTATTTATGTTCTTTCTTGATACAAATATCTTTCCTGTTCCTTCTACAAAACAGCAATGTGGCAGGATTACTGTTCTTATCTCCTCTGCCTGGTGTGTCCAATCCCTGTGGGTCTGTGGCTCCGTCTTGATATTCAGAACTCCGTTCAGATGTCACTTCCTCTGAGAAGTCTTCCTGGACTACTAAAGTAGCCTCTCTCTGCACATCATTCTTTCTCATGCCCCTGTTCCGTTGTCTTTTTTTTTTTTTTTCCTTTTTTTTGCGGTACACGGGCCTCTCACTGTTGTGGCCTCTCCCGTTGCGGAGCACAGGCTCCGGACGCCCAGGCTCAGCGGCCATGGCTCACGGGCCTAGCCGCTCCGCGGCATGTGGGATCTTCCCGGACCGGGTCACGAACCCATGTCCCCTGCATCGGCAGACGGACTCTCAACCACTGTGCCATCCGGGAAGCCCTGTTCTGTTGTCTTTTAAGCACTTATATTTGAAATTATCTTGTTGAGTTGTTTGGGGGCTTATTATGCATTGCCCCTTATGTAGGATCTAAATTCCATGGAAGTGGAACTCTGGGGGCCTTTTTCACTGTAGTACCCCCATGTCTGGCACACAGTAAGTTCTCCACTAAATATGTTAAGTGAACTAGGGCACTTGCCTAAATCGCACCAATGTATGCTTTATTTCTATACTTGGGAAAGAGTGGTTGTTTCACTACCTCATCCATGTATTTGTCATGTGTTCTCTCAACATTTATTGAAGAGCTCCTAGGTGGCAGGCCACTGCAATGTGAAGTCCCTGTGGGGGGAAGGGGACAGACAAGTAAACAGGAAGCTGTGATGATGTGTTAATGTCTAAACAGAGGGACACACAGGGTCCCTGCTCTGACCCCAGGAGGGCCCCCCACTCAGCAAGGGTAGTCAGGGAATGTTCCCAAAGGAGTTGACCCTGGGGCTGTCACATCCTGTATCTCAAGTTCTTTTGGAGTGAGTCCTCTCCAAACCAGGGGAAATGCCATTGTCATACTTGCCCTTTGTACTTACCATCACCTGATCACACTCATCCTTTTGCTTCAACTCTTTGGATTTTGCTGACAATTAAATTCTCTTTAATTTTAATTTAATGTCATCTTAATTTAAATTCTCGCAAGCCATCCCATGTACTGTATGTTATTTGTTGTAACTTTACCCTCATCGTCACATGTGGGAGAGAGAACCACAGGCTCCTTACCCAACTCCTCTATGGAAAACAAAATTTGAAGTTAGAAGTCCTTAATCATTTATAAACGGCCTTTTGCTTCAGGTAAAGTCAGAGTTAAAGACAAGCTTTAAGGAACAAGAAAGCTGGGCGTGTGATGGGGGAAACGTCGACATTTACCTTGTCAGCAACCCTGTGCAGTTTCCATGGCATTTCTTCTCTAGTTCGCTGGCATTTGCCAGGCTACTTATTTGCTATGTTTAGCAGTCCAAGGCCATTGTACTTCACAAGTTTTCCTGGAAAGAGAAATGCCCACCCAAAACGAGACAAGCACAAACAACACCACCCATCAACTGTGCAAGGTGACATTGCATTGGACATGGCCTGGTTTAATATCAGTGGTCCATGCCCTGTGGAAAAGCAGGCACTGGGTTATACTGTCCCCTAAATTTTGGGGTCCATAGCCAGCTCACAGGGGCATGTGTATGTGTGTGTGTTTGCGTGTATGTGTAGGTGTGTTATGTGTGTTTCTTTTGAAACTTAGATTGAGTTAATCATCAGTTCGTGGCTCACTTTTCATCACTGGTCCCATCTATTGATTGATTGATTTCCCTTTTTTCATTATTCTCCATTTCTGTTCCTAAAGGCAGCAACTGGGTTCATGTATATCTTTGACTTGGAATACATCCTTATAAAATGATTAGTATTGTCTTGTGTGTATATACTCTTAAGTTTCATAAATTAAATGGGGCTATAGAACACATTTAATCCTTCCTTTATATGCTCAGAACACTGAGGAATCTATTCACATTTCTGGGTATACATCTATTTTGTTGCTTTTAATTGCTACAGAGTATCCAGTCGGGTGCATTGCCCATGTGCTAGTTACTGCTCCCAGCAATAATGAACACCTGAGTTGCCCCATATCTTTTTTCACACCTAGAGTTTTTTAGAATATACACCCAGAAATGGATTGCTGGGTAATAATATTAGGCTAAATACTCCCAGCTTGTGCTCTAGAAGAGCTACGTGCACCAAGAATCTTCAGACGTGTACAAGTACTTCTATTTCTTCATGTCCCTGCCAACACATAGAATCATCCGGCTTCCTAAACTTTTTGTTAATCTCATAGGTGTAAAGTGACATCTTCTAGTTTGGGTTTGCACAGCTCTCATTACTGATGAGTTTGGGCAGCTCTCCATACTTGAGGCCTTTGGGTTTCCCCTTCTATGAATTGGCTGTTGATATTCCTTGACCATTTTCCTATTGGAATTCCTGCCCATGTACTTATAGATTTGTAGGGGTTCTTTCTTTATTCTAGATATTAGCCTTTGTCAGATTTAGATTTTGCAAATATGTTATTTCAACTTATCTATTATTTTGACTATGTCCTTTAATGAACAGAAATATTTTTATTTTGATATGATCAAATTAATCAGTTTCCCCTCTATGGCTGATGGCATTTTGGGTCTTATTTGGGTCTTCCTCCTGTGGTATATATT